GTGTAAGTCTGAAGATTTCAGTTGAAGTGAAGTCCTTCAGAGAATTTATTTATTTTACAATATTCTGATGGATGTCTGTGACACAGGGACAGAAACTCACTTTTACGTTTACCGTCTTTAAAACAGGGGACTGCAGCTTGTGGCGACTGGCCCACATGTGGCTCGTCAGTATGATTCATTTTACTTTACATTCGTTTAGTTAATGTTGTGAAGTGACCTGATATGGTAGAGTCTTCTTTTTTCTTAGCCCATGTACTAGCAACAGCGGTGCAGCTAGCAGAAGTTGAGATCAGGTCAAATGGCCAATCATAACTGCTGTAGTCATTGCTTTCATACTGTAAGGGATTGCAGTGTAAACTGAATTAAATATTTTTAATAATTTAAGGACATCCTGTCTGTTCCTTTTGTCTAAGTATCCATCACTGCATGACTGCATGTAGCAATTAGCATCCTGTGGTTTCCTGTGGTACTGCAGGTAAAACTATAACATAGTGGTCTCTCTGCATAATTCTAGTTATGTTTGAAAAACAGCATATGCAAATCACGGGTGCCCCGAGAGCAGATCACAAAGGGATGAAATAATTATAATTCTATGGCATGTAGTAGATGAGATTTAAATTGTATTGTACCATAAAGCTACATGCTTTGAATCATTGACTATATATATTTAATATTTTAATGTAGGTAGGTGACTTTAGTTTTTTTTTTCATTATTAGTAGCTTCCAAGCTAAACTAGAGCAGCACCTCTGATATAGATAATTATTTGTAATGAATTTTATTCAGTGGTTAGATAATTAAAATGGCTTCTTCTGTAAATTCTGTTTGGAACTGTTTGACTTACCCTGGTAGAGGAGCAGCAGCAGAGCAGCTTCCAGCTTCACAGGGTTGGGTGTCACTCTTCTAACCTGTTTGGTGACTTCATTCTACCGACTGTCTGCCCACAAATATTCTCTCATCAGATACCAAAATATGTCAAGGCCAGTTTGACAATGGAGAGCAGCCCTAAAGACCTCTTTTCCTACTGACACTGAACCAGAAACACAGGGAAGCGTTCACTTTTGTTAATCAGCCATCACAAAACTGTAAGATGCAAATGTCATTCGAATGACAGCCGTGTCTACAGAGATGGACTCAAAGGTTGGATTAAAAGTGTATCAGAGACCACAGAAGATTTTAAAAGTACAAGCATGTTATGTCATTCATAATCGACTTTCCTTCTGTCTCTATTTTTTTTCCCTTTGTTTCGCAAGTGGTCATTCATGTATCAAAAAAGGAGATTAAAAAAAGGTCAGATAAATCCTGTCTGTCGATACAGTGCGTTCCTTACTTTTACTTACAGTTTACAGATTGTAAAGTATTTTTTATTGTTAAAATAGGCCATTTCAGGGTGTATACAAAGAAAAAGAAAAAAGCCAATAGTGAGTCACAAATAGTCATGAAAACCCCAAAAGCTAAAATGAAACCAAAGAGTCAAAATACAAGTTTAAATCTGACTGTGAAAACCCAAAGACAGCCTAGAAATGATCGAAAACTGCCTTAAATGATTTAAACACCACACACAAATGTAACCAATGTAAAGTGTAGCATCCTGGTATTTGAAAATTGTGGTAAATATGATTAAATACATATTTCTATAGAATTAAAATATACATTCATTGGAGGACAGTAGCT